AAATTATTCATCTTTGCTGAAACTCAAAAAATAAGTTTGCACATAGTCAAATGATGCATCAAAATAACCATAAATGAATATAGAACTGGAAAATATTGAAAAATTTGCAGTTATTTATATACATTCCATAAAATTTGCACCTTTGGATCATGACATCCGATATTTAAAAAAAATAAATTTTTATGATCTTGAAAAATGGACAAGATGCATTCACAAACAGAAAAAAACTCTCGTATCTTATATGGAATTATTCAGAATTGCATTTGGAATAAACCTACACATGTCTTGAGCGGTATTTTTTGTGGAATTTCTTTAAAAAATAGTGATTTTTGGGAGACAAAAATGACAATTTAGATCTAGATCTAGTACTGAAATATATTGATTTCTCAATAACAGAGCAATGGTAATTTGAGCCCAATTGTATCAATATTCTAAAGAAGAGTTTAGTTCTTTAGTGTGCAAAATAATGATACTTTTTGTTGTGTAAAAGTAGTAAGACTGGTGTCTGGGCTATAATTTGAGCATCGCGATAAAACAAAGTCGCATAAACTTCGAACTCGTTTTTCAAAACTGAATCAAAACTTCCGATTTTCGGAGGAAACGCTTGACCCGGAAGTCAACATTATATTGTGACCTTTAATTTTACCTGGGATATGTGGATTGGAATAGAATCTAAGCTAAAATTGAAGATCGGTTCTCAAGCCGCCAGGGGTGGCTTAGCGTACTGACAGCACTTTAGCCGCGCCGCCCCCCATGGCTCGGCGTAGCGAATGAGTTAATCATGTTATCTCTATTTCTTTCTTTTAGGGTGGCATCTATGTGTTCACATTGCTGGATTGGTTTGTGGCAGCCTTTTGTGTGATGCTGACATCGCTCATAGAGTGCATCATCATTGGATGGCTTTATGGTAGGTCATCTCTCAGAACATGACAATTTTTCTATGTTGTCTTTTTGCGAATTGGCACCAAAGAAATGCAATAATTAAAGAACAAATATTTTAGATTTTCCATCTATTGTGAGTATTAATTGAGGAATCTTTTGCTTATTTAACCCTATCCTTATGCCCAGGGGTCATTTTGTACCCCAGGGGTTGTATTCTTCACATTTTAGAATACATCTAGTACGAAGATCTTTTTGAAACTTTCAGTATTTCTCAAAAAATCATTTTGACAGACTGCTATGCAATGCGTACAGATCGGATTAACGAGTAAATTTTCCTCTTTGGAAAGTGGGGCACAGAGTTCCCCACGTCGTATGGGTACGATAGTAAAACACGATGCACTGATAGGGTTAAATTGATACATGTAATAATTTTCATTTAATGTCTGAGTTTGGCTTCAGCCTTCTTTGAAAGGGCTCGAACTATGTTTCAGTGGTCTTTCTCATATTATTAGCAGGTGCATAGAAGGTGCCAATGATAGATTACACCTCTCTTGTTCCTTTATTTTTGCTGTATAGTCATTAAAATGTCGATCCATTCACTTATGTTGTTTTTCCTGTAATGGTGCTCAAGGTGTAACAGTGTCATTTCTCCCCTTTAAATATTATTGCGCTGTTCCTTGGAAGAAATGATATAATGGGTCATTTGTCTGTGATGATTAATTCACTTACACCTGAGTGTGAAATGTTGATTTTTAGGAAGTGTAATTGTGTCATTTTATATTTTTGAAATTTCTTTTGAGCTATGATGATCTTAATAACCAAATGGAAATCAATTTTGTAAAGTTCTACCTGTTTACTTTTTTGCAAGACCTTCTCTTTAACTCAAATGTGTTCTTTCTAAGTAGTGAACAGGTGATAATATAACCAAATAGGGATTGCAACAGAATATAAAGTGAAGGTATTACAGTAGTGTAACAAACAGAAATTGAAACATGATTTTCCTCATTGTGAAACTGAGCATGATACTTAAATAATTTGTGTGTAATCTAGTGTGTGCAAAAAAGATCTACTTTGATTTGATTGTATTTTTTCCACAGGAGTTGACAAGTTTTGCGATGACATTGAGTTGATGATAGGTCGGAGGCCAGGCATCTACATGAAAGTCTGCTGGACAGTGGTCACCCCTCTCGTCATGTTGGTAAGTCAAGTTAGTGATAAAATTTGAGCTTACTCACGAAAAAGCCCCCCACCCCACACACACACACGCACGCGCACATACACTGGTACAATGGGATTGGGCGCAGGGAGAGGGTGGGAGGAAGGAAGAAAATATGTCCACGTAGTACTCCCGGTGGCCAAGTGATACAATTCTTTTGTAGGAGGAATGGGACTAATGAATGTTTATAGTGAGATGTGTTATGTTTTGTTGTCCCAATTCTCTCTGCTTTCTTACTTTTTTCCTTATTCTGACCATTGTGCTTGGCACTCCTCACTCTGATTCACATATTGTGTCTAGCAAGGCACATACAAAAACAAAAATGTTTACTTTTAAGTTGATGTCTTGTTAGAAGTGTTTGAACTTTGTTCCTGTTCGCCTAGTATTGCATTGCACAAAGAACTAATTCATTATGTTTTTATTTCCTATGTTCATCACTAAATGATTTCAGTCCTTAGTCTCCTAATTATCATGTATCTTGTATGCCCTGTAAAATTGATAATTGGAATCAAGTGGAAACAACCGAAGATAAAATATTTATGATGCTAAAATCTTTCTAAAGTCTCTCAATGAAATCAGAGTTTAAAAATTTGTATTTGATAGGGTCTATCGTTATTGGCTGGTTTGACACATCGATAGGGTCAGCAGCACTTTGACAGGGAAATGCGAGTGGATGATTTGAAGAGGTCCATGAGGTTGCTCTCCCTCCCTTGTACAGGTAGTTGGAACCTGGCTGTGCCTGTCATACTTGAATCTAGTTGTTGTTTTTTAAAATTGAAGTTTGAAGACCACAACACCAACTTGTTCAAGACACCATCAATTGTCGAGGAGGAATGTGGACATCTTAGTCAGGCAGTCCTCATGGACAATGTCATTATATTTTTATAACGCAAGGGGGGGAGTGGGAGTTGATCATTTATACAGGCGATTGTCTCGCACAGGTGGTCATTAGAGCAGGTTCCTCTATAAATTCATTAAATTAGTGGATTTAATTATTTATTGGATCTTCTCATTTCAGGTTGCTTTTATATTCACGTGTGCTAAATACACCCTGCCGGTATACGATGGATATGTCTTCCCTACCCACGCCAATGCCATTGGATTCCTCATCTCTGTTATACCCCTCATACCAATCCCTGCTGGTATGGCGTATGTGCTCTTCAAAGAAAAGGGAACTTTCTCTGAGGTAAGACTTAACTCTTTTTATCCGTGCTACGAGTATACTGGTAACAAGGACCAGTCCGTGCTACGAGTATACTGGTAACAAGGACCAGTCCGGGCTACGAGTATACTCGGAACAGCGATACGGTCACGTCAAAGAAGCTAGTTCTGCTTGTAATTACCAAAATACGCAAATATGGCGATGCTAGCTCTGTCTGAATAATTTAACTGATTCCGTCCATGATTTTTTCAGGCTCTGGACAGAATTATTTTTCCCTGTTCAGTTTTAGACCTGGGGTGCATCTTTTTAACGCATTACTGTGAAGCTCTAAGTTACTCTAATATGTATTGTCATATACCAAAGTGATGGGAATAAATAGAAAAATCTGATTATATCAATAAAAATGACCTACAATCTGTTTGTATTGCATTTTCCTTATGACAAAAACGAAAGAGAAAAAAAAATTGCGCAACAACTCTTCGAAAATTTCGACTTACCGCATTTTCTCAGCTCTACAAGTCCTTATAATCCATAGGAATCAACACAACATTGTAGCGATATCACCCTAGCACACATTTATGCAAGAATTTCACAAATTTAGTTGAATATCTTTCTTTGAAGAGCCTTTTTATTATACCAGGCTCAGTGTTGTTTACCCTTAGATCTAGCCTACATAGCAACAACAAAACAACGATTTTTGCAAGAATTTCGCTGAGTTTCGATCGATATTGGCGCTCAGAGATTGAGGTCAGGTTTGTTTACAAGTTCTACTTCCTTTCGACAACTGAAAAAGTGGGAACTATGTTAAAAAGTGCACATTTGTTTCGGATTTCGTTGAGCCGCTCACAGCGGCCGAATGGACGCAGCGGAAAAACTCAGAGCCGCTGTCAGCGGCCGATTGGACGGAATCAGTTAATTTTCCAATGAACAGTGGTTTCTTTGTTTTTGATGGGTGTAGAAGCTTGAAAGATGTCTCGAAAACGCACATTCACGACCGACGAAGTACTTTTTGAAGTGGCGCTGGGTTGTGAGGGGGAATGATACTAATTTGATGAAAGTGACTCTGAAATAAGTGCCGTAAATTCCGTTGTGGATGATAAGAAACAGGACTTAGACTCATCTAATAAAATAGCGATTCAGATCATGGTGAAGGGGTCAGTACTGGAATTTGTGCTCGATGGGTAGGGCTAGATCTAGATCTAGATCTATAAAATCCAATGGGATGTCGTGGGTGCGGCAATCAGGGTCAAGTTCGAGGGTGGAATACACCTCAAAATCTACTTTGTGCAATTGGTGTAATTCCTAACCACATACATAAAAAAAACAACTACATTCAATTTCTAATATAACTGCCAAATTTCCTTAAAACCTTAGAGTAAATGTAAGAATTATAGCACTTTGAACTATACGCACTGACTTCCGACTCATACGGCGCGGCGGCCCCAGGACTGGTACAGAGTCCGTGGGGGTACGGCTAGGATAAAAAGAGTTAAGTGTTATTATTTTTATCTCCCCATGGAGCAAAATTTCTCTGAATGGGCAGGGACATATATATTTTTGGCTATCCCATCAAAAAAGGAGGGTTGTAACCACCTTGCTGTTAGAATGCCTTTCATGTCTCACATTCTGTCCTCTGTATTAATGATATATTTTTCCAACGCTTACTGCGTTTTCTTTCCAGCTCTTTTTTTTAACTCTTTCACTACCGGGGGGGGTTCCTCACCTTGACCGGGCCCTATCTGTGGCCTACTTTCTGATTCTGCCTACCTTCGGACAAATTAAACATTTTTAAGTTCAATTTTCAATATTAGCCCCATGTATTATGTATGGAAATAAAGGGGAAATAATGACCTATCTCAACATGTTGCTAAAAACGATCATTCTTCAGCCTGAAATTTCAGATTTGATTATTGCAAAAGTAGAACTAGTTCTGAAGCAGGAAGTGGAGAGCCATGAAACACGGCTCGCGGTCCAGCTTTGGGGGTAACACGAGCCTTGAAACATGGCTCCAGGAAGTGAAAGAGTTAATTCTGCTAATCTATCAATGGATGTTATACAGTATTAGCAGACAACGGACCCCTACAACCCCACTGTGTGGAATGCATCTTTGAAATATACTTGCAACAGGTCTATAGAAGCTGTTTCTTTCTATAGTATAGGAATATTCAAAGATGCCGTAGTAATGTGTTATTCAAAGTAAATTAGACAAGTATGTGCTGTTTTGCATTGTCAGGATTATTGCTGTATACAACTTTTGTTTAACAAATGTAACTGTGGTAACGGTGTAATGTGAATGTTTGTTTCAGCGTTTGTACAGTTCAGTGCAGCCATCGCCAGAGTGGGGTCCCGGAGCCCGCCGCTATAAGGCCATGTACGAGGACCACAAAGAGGAGAGAAAACACAGACCATACTGGCTGAAGACTTTGTTCCGTAGGAACAAATTTTAATGATTGTTCTGCTGTAGGGCTAAAATCATTTGAAAGTGGAATTGTGTACCTTGAATTATCGGTTTATTTTTCATGCTCTGTCTCTGTTGAGTGACCTCACTTCGCCTGGCTTACAGTTTTTAGCATGTTGACATTGATTGAGCTCATTTTGACATTCATGTAGTATTCTTTCAATTCACTGTTATTTTGTTTAGCTGTTACTTTTAATGAATTATTTCAGTTACTTCTTTTAGTTTTTGCTTGAAGACTTGTCTTTTCACAAGTGATTTGTACTTGCATATCATGTTTACTCAGAGAGCAAAAAATATGTTTGTCAGATTGTGACAATCAGTTATGTTTTTTGCCTTTTGTTATAGTTAAACATTCAATGACTTTGTGGCTTTAATATGATCACCAAGTTTATCCGCATGTGGAGCTTACGGCTTGTCATCTTTAAACTTTGCCTTAGTTCTTAAAGATTTATCTCCACCTATTTTCTCTATCTCATATTAGTTTCTCCCCAACCAATCAATTTTTTTTTCCAATCCCTATAGGAAGAAGGATAAGCCATGTTTTTCTGACTCTACTCATGTTGAAAAAAGATGGATACCTCAGCATATTTTTTAAAGTTGAGATCATATTCCTTACCAAAGAGATTATTATTATTATTGTAGACGGAAAAGAGATGCAGTTCTTATTTTTGCAAGCGCTAGATCTATTAACAGTGTGTCGGTGCATGAATATGCAAGTGAAAAAAGTTGTAAATGTATTTTTTTTGGTCATGCCAGATACTCTGACTAAAAATCTCTGCTCAGCTCTTACTAATTTGACTCATTTTATCACCCAATGAACCCTTCGTTTTTACTGATTCATAATTAAAATTGTCATAACAGCTTACTACTATACTGTGTTTAAATCAAAATTTCAATAAAGAAGGCATTCCGTCATGGAAATCAGGGAGACTTTTGCTCATATTTTATTCATAAGAGAAAGTTTTACTGGTACCTCTGTTTCTTGTCCAATATTGTCAGATTAGCTTTGATTGATTTGGTAATTTGTTAAAACTGACGAAAAAGAATGTTTCCTCTGAAATATTGATGTAATCTGTTTCTTTCATGTATGAGTATTGTCACATTGAGGAACATGAAGAAATTGTTCTGTAACCTTTCATGTACAGAAGCTTTGTGCATGAAATATTTTTTCTCTTAATTGATCTAGGCTTTTTTACAGGTTATGCGAACTTAAGGTTATGTACCTCTAGCTAAACGAAAAAAGGTGTACCAGTATTTTGCAGGGGTCTGAAAGTATATCTGATCGTCAAGCTATTGTTTAGTGAATAGGGTGAGCTTCCCTTGTCTTATACATTTTTTTTTCCTGCTGTTGAACTTATAAGCTTGTTTCCTGCTGATATACAGTTGATACTAGTTTTGTTTGGTGTACTAATTGATGAATAAAACAATTTTTAGAGGTCAAACCTATGTTGTAGACCTGCCACTCATCCCGATTTAGTCAGGATATCCCGATTTTTTTCCCTAAATCTCAAGCATCCCGATTTTCCATATTTCGATCGTGTGTATCCCGATTTTTTGTCCAAGTCTGCTGTTGTACCGGATTTTTCTAAAAATTTACTCTGCCTTCTTCTTTATCGCTTGAAGCGCCCGTTGAACTTTTTATCAGAAGGAACTTGGAGCATTATTTTCCGAAATCTCGATGCCGGATTTAATAGTTGACTCGCCCCAAGTTGTGTTTGATCTTTGCCCGCACTCAGAATTCTCAGATGAGAGCCTAGTAACTGTTACACTATGGGGCATACAAAAAATCTGTAATATTCAGAGTTCCGCTGTTACTTTCAAAACAAGCGTGTCTGAGATGTGGTAACTGCGCATTCACATCAAACACTCAGACGAGCGACAGTGGTTCTAACCCGTACACATTTAACTGTGCTGACAAGACAAACATATAGCCATTGTCGTTGCTTTAGTCTGAACGCATATATTAGGGATAAGAGATTTGTTGGTACATTTAGTCGGTCAGCTGCCGGCGTTATCGTAGAAGTAGAATGACTGTCGCTCATCCGAGTGTTTTGTGTGAACGCGTAGTTAGTCGAACCCTTTAGTAAAAATGTTTTAAATCGCGCATTCACTTCACGAGACATGACTTCGTCATGTGAGTTCCGTGTGTTGGGGACCGTCCGTTGACTGGGTCAACTTATGTTCATACACACTGGTTGAAGGGTCTTTCGGAACTTATTGGTGGGGGGGGGGGGGGGGGGGGGGGGAGAGGGTTAGACTCCTGGACTAGGAGTGCTTGACATGACGCTTCGGGATTTACGAAAAATGATGATAACGCATACGAAGAAACACACACATACACACACGCACACTCACGCAAATAAACAAAGACACGCAGAGGGCATATAAGCCTATTTATTTATGGACACCCCTGGAAAATTTTTAAGTCAGCTTGGCAGTCACCTTGGTGATTTGCTGTTGATTCCGATTTTTTGCACCGAATCCTGATTTTTCCCCCTGAGATCCTGAGTTTGAGGTTTCATAGAGTGGCAGGTCTGATGATGATTAATCTTAAAACTTTCCCTATGTGAAGAAATAGTGTGCTTGCTCAGTGCTTGTCTCACTGCGGTTTGAATTTATACTAATTCTGAGTTGTTTTTTTATAATGAAAATAAGCAGGTAAGTAACAGCCAAGGTGTTTTCTGTTCTTTTATGTATACCGTGTTGTTCTTTTTATCCGATTTTACGTAAAGTACTGAGGAGAGGGTATAATCTGTTGTTTTGATCAAGATGGATCGATGCTTGCTTGCCACCAAATATTTATACTGAGATTTTTTCGGCATTGTAGTATGGTCGGTACGTAGACAGCTGGAAAAAAAAGTTTTTAATCTTATTTTGTTTTATCCTTTACAGTGTCTAATGCAAATTTTTCTGTTGGAAGCATTTTCACTCTTGATGGGATTATTCTTGTATATTTTTTTAAATTGTTGTTTTATTTTGTGATTCCCACTTATTTAACAGTGTTATCTCTTTTGTTCAAAGATATTTGTTTTTGATAAATGATATATGAGTTACATATTTTATGTCTGCATGTGATGAGCTACAACAGGTGCTGATAGTGGCCATTTTATCAATACTATTTAAAAAAGCAGAAAGGGGAGGGGGGGGGGAAGAAATCATCAGCTTGCCACTGATGCTGAAGCACCTGGTTTGTCTGTGGGTTGATGTGATATGGTTGGTAGATGCTTTAGAACCTTGAGCTCTTGGGTTTAGGCACTGTTTATTTTCTAGTAAGGGTGAAAAACTACACGTGTACATGTTGCCTATTTCATAGATATGTCATGTGACCTTTGAATGTAAAAAAAGACAGGTTTGACACGACCTGCTGCCATTGCAAACTTTGAAATGACTCTTAATTAAAAGTACAATTGAAGTATTTCTGAAAACTCCATTTTGTCGAAAATGTGAAAACCACTAATATGTAGAAGGAAAAAAAAAATCCATTTGTAAAGGTTTGTTGCTTTTTTTAGCTCGGGAACCAACCCCTGAGAACCTTCAGAAGAACTCAGAAGATGAAAGAAGGTCTTGGAATTATGATGCGCACAATATATGTACCTATTTGAGGATTTGAGGCGCATGATGTCATCATCACTTTTTAGCAGCGGTATTTAATTAAGATATTCACTGGAAGAAATGTCTTTAGGAAAGAATCATCAATGTCTTGTCAAAGAGCTCAAAAGTGAAAATTGTTGTTCATGTGAGCTGTACCCTTTATGGGTAATTCAGTGCTACTTGATTTTTTGTATCCGAAAAAGCTTTTGCAATCCATCCTTGATTTATCCTTTTAGTCTCTAATACGATGAAATTTTAGAAGTTTCTTCTATATATTTTGTTGCTGCTGTAAAACTGAAATGATGTATTTTTCACAAATGCTATGTTTGATTATAAATTGGAAAGTGTTATTTGAGACCCTTGAATTTTACTTTTGTTTATTGTGAGCTTGACGGATACCGATGAGAGAGCCTGGGGAATGGTCTTTCTATTCATCGGGGGGGGGGGGGGGGGGGGGGGGGTGTTTAAATTAGGCAAGTAGAAGGAGACATTGCTGTTGTTTTACTAACCAGCTTGCGTGTATCCTTAATAGCATGTTATCTCTTCAGTTTGCCCAAAGACTGGCTGTCATGTAGACTCAAGCAATAAAAGAATTGAATGAGCATTATTTGTATCCAATAATCCGAGGAGATAAGAGTTGTGTTCATTTATGCTGTTTGAAAATATGCAAAACTTTACTTGTAACTCTAACTTATTCAGCAATGATTGCTGAGACTATGAATCAAAATCCTTACAGCTGTACATTGATTATTGTGTTTGTGTGGAAACATCAAGTGTCACCTTGATTTTATTTTAAGTTTCTTTCCCTGTCGCCGAATATATAGGCTGCTTTGTATGTGGAGGGCTTGGTACACTCCAGTTTTGCATCACATAATGAGGTTTCTTTATCATTTTTAGTTTCTGTTGGGTGTTGTTTACATTCACCCTCTCTCAATAGATCTTGTTTCAGATTTTTTTCTTATGCACACTAGTTCTGTTATTAACAATTTTAAGCACAAATATTTGTGTTACTGATTTATTGTAGGGCAGTCACATGACCTGACAAATTGTTTTGTGATCTATTGACGAGCGTTTAAATTTGGGAAATTGTCTGCATCACATGTAGGAAGTAAAATCTCTTGTCATTTTTGTCCCTTCAGATGAGAACATGCTCACCCATGAAGGACTGGGGTGGAGGGAGGACTCTCTATGTATCAGGGTTTTTATTTAGTTTTTTAAAAGTAGACATGTGAGAGAAGAGAGTACATGTTGCTATTGTTTTACTAACCAGCTTGCATGTATTTTTAATAGCTTGTTATTTGTATTTGTTCAGTTTGCGCAAAGTCTTGCTGTAATGTAGACAAGCAATAAAAGAATTGAGTATTATTTCCACCCAATTCCTTGAGGAAATGGAACCGTTTTCATTGATGCTGTGAGGAAATGTGCAAAAACCATTACATGTGCAGCAATGATTGCTGAGACCTGGGGCTGTGAATCAAAGTCACTACAACTGTATGTCGTTGATGGTTGTGTTTGTACGGAAGCATCAAGCATCAACTTAATTCATCATGAGGTTTGTTGAGCTTTTATGTCTTTCCAGTAGCAGAGGATATTTTGAAAGCTGATGGTTCAGTCTCCCAGCAGGTATTGCAATTACAGGCTCTCCACTTTGCAAACATTTTCCAGTACATAACGAGACTTCTTTATCACCTTTAGTTTTCTGTGGGGTACTGTATACATTCACTCACTCTCCATAAGATCTCTTTTCTGACTTTTTCCTTATGCGCGCTGTTCTTTTTTACTGTTATTTACAATTTTAAGCCCAAATGTTTGTGTTGCTGGTTCATTGTAAAACAGTCATATGACCAGACAAATTGTTTTGTATCTATTGATGAGCTAGTAAATTTGGAAAATTGCAGTACAATATGTAGGAGACAAAATCTCTTGCCATTTTTGTCCATTGAGATAGGAACCTGCTCTCTTTTTTTATACTTCATCTCTCTTGTTGTTCATATTTCGAAGGTTTGTATTTGTTTTTACTTACAATTCACTTTTTTTTACCATGACAAAAGTCTGTTCCATTTTCAAATCTTTTTTCATGATTTGTTGAGATGATGAAAAAAAAAGTTGAAAATGCAGCTTGTTACCTTGTATATTGTTGAGTTTTTTTTGGGGGGTTTTCCTTATGAATTTGGTCTTTCTTTTGTGACAAAAGAGGTTTTCAGTCTTTGTTAATGTTTTGTTTTCCTACATGACTATGTATTTCTGCAATGTAGCATGTTACTCAGGGTAGAACACATTATCTTACGGTATAAAATGTGGTAGTGTGTCAGCTATGGGTATAATACAACTGCAAAAAAAAATTGTATTTTTTCATCCTTGAAATGAATGGCTTATATGTGGAGCTTTGTTTTTGGGAGTTGTGGTGAGCATTAGTCCAATTAGAGTTGGAATAACAGTAAGGAAAATGTAGATAACAGAAGCATCTCTATATCTGTATCTTCCGTTGACCCCATTACAATTTCTTGGACTCATTTTCATAATTTCTGACAGCTTTCCTTTTTTCAGAAATTGTGATTTGTAACGAAAGGAACATTTCAAATTGCAACTAAAAGAGTATTGTATAATAATTATATACCTGTTCTAGTTGTTGGGAGAAAAGACTTTATATATTTCTCTTGAGATGCTCAAGAGATGCTGAACATTTTTGTGGGCTTTGCATTGCATGCATGCATCAAACTTGAAATCTGCCTCATTTGTACATATCAATACCCAAGATTAATGTTCCCACCTTGGTGTAGTGGGGGATGTGAGAGGTTATTATTTATAGTGCAAGTGTGTTATCCCACCTAGATTAGTTTAATTGTCTGAAATAGCACTGCCATTGTTTATCTCCATGAGAGGAGAGACACGTTTTAGGTGCTTTGAGATCTTGTTATGGTAGCAGTGAAAATAAGGGATGCTTTTTACGGCACATGTTTCCTAATGTTAAGTTTCATTGACATTTAAGCTGAAAAGAACCGTAGCTCACTACACTTTGACTTTAGCCTACAGGCATTCACTATTGTTGTGTCTGTCAACCTGTCTTGCTCTTTCCTGGCATTAAATGACCATTAATGTGTCGTGAGCTTCTCTTTAAGTGTACTCAAAAAACAAACACATTGTAGAGAAGAGAATTGTTTTTTGAGTACTCAGCTATGTATTTCAACAGTTTGACATATTATGCTTTTACGTGTTTCTTGTTTCACTAACACTGCATGGTCATTTCCTTTTATCTGTGAGGTCCTTATGAAATTTTCTGTGGACTTTGTTTTCATGTCAATCGATTTTTCTGGACAAATAACAATTGCTTTGTTTTCATGAAGATAAGATCCTCACAGTTTTTGAAAAATACATTCTTAAAGTAGTATTGAACCTTCATAATGTGCTATAGTCCTCAGTATATATATGGTTTAGGGCTTGGTGCGCTATGGTGAATGACCGTGATCAACTCCCAAAATAGGTTTGGGCAGTTTTCAAGGGTCTCCGCCCATATGGCTTGGTTCCATGAGAGATCGGATGTTAAATTCAAAAGTCCTGTATTTCCTTTAACTTTTCAGCGTTGTTTTAAATCCTTATCATATCCTGTGGTTTCTATATTGAATGTAAGCTAGCTAAACTTGCGGAATAGTTTTTAGTTTATATTTTTGTAAAAATTGTACAGCACGTGCAACCCAAATAGGTCAATAACTGCTGAAGAGTAGAGGTGTTACTTGTACAAGAAAGCAACTTGTAGGATAAAAGAGGGAGGAAATATAATGATGACAGATGTTCGATGGGGAAGATGGCACAGACCAGAAGAGGCCTACCTACTAACCACCCGCAGGGATAGTATATTCTACATACTCAAGATCTTGATCTTTTGAAATAATATCACACCACTTAGATATAGTGTCATTGTGCACCGTCTTTCACATGAGCAGCTTGTTTCAAGGGGTGAGACTTTCAGCTCACCTTTGACTCCTGTTGGGGAAATTTTAATTTTACACTGTTAATCCATGCCAACAAAATGCTTTCTGTGAATTACTCTAATAGCAGAAGAGTGATCACCCAGTAGACAACTTTGTCATGGTGCTGCCATTTTGGGCCAAGTCAGACAAGCCATAATGGAATCTAACAATTTTGTAATTCCCTTCTTTAGGGCGCATCATTTATTATTTTTAAAATTTTAAAGTACCCTGCCTTCTGAATATAGACATTTTAATTTTTCATGGAAAAAAGGCGTATTTTAAAACAAATCAGGTTTTCTCAATTATCTAGAAAGTGAAAAAAAAATTTAAAAATGAGTAAGGCCATATTGGCAGAACCATAGTGACTTTCAAACTTTTAAATGAAGGACATTTCCTTCCTTGTTTCTCAGGCATATAATCTGAATGTTGCCACACAGTCTTTCTGAATGGAACAAGAATCTGCTCCTGTGTCATTCAAGTGTGAAACTCTGTTCTTTGATTCTGTAGATGCTCTTTCCCTTTCATATCCACAGTATCACTCTCTCTGGCAGGTGGCCACCAAAGTTTTGACACAACATTTGGAGAATGAGAATATAGATGGCTTTCACATTTGTTGCTGGTATTGGATGACTGCTTTCCTCTTGTAATTCCATCAAGTTCAGGTGCAGCACTGTGAGTAATTGCTTGTGTTTGAGTACAGAGACATTGAAGGGAGTCTGGGGTTAAGAAAAGACCTTGATATAGTGACTGGGTTCAAGAAGGTGTGTGTGTGTGTGTGTGTGTGTGCGTGCGTGCGTGCGTGCGTGCGTGCGTGCGTGCGTGCGTGCGTGTGGTATATTTATATATAAAAATACATATATATTTGTATGAATATGTGTGTGTATGTCTATGATAAATGTGTGTTTGTGTGTGTGTGTGTGTGTGTGTGTGTGTGTGTATACAAATCTGAACATCTTGAATATTAGTGTAATTGATCAGTTTTACAAATAATTTGTCTTTGTAACTGAGTAGCAACATGTGATTTCTAGCAGACAGAAAAAAAGAACTGCTGGATCTATTCATGCTTTGTCTGTTTCATCTAACATGTGACCTTTGTTACCATCCCATCCCTCCAACCTCCCCCCCCTTTCCAAACCTGTCAATTTTCCCAAGGAAAAAGAAAATACACTATATCGCTTGGTTATGTCTGGAAAGCATCCTTGTGCCATTTATTTTCTGTCCTTGGTGCTCTTACACCATTTCAGTCGTAATGGATAGAAATCATGCAATGCACATGCAATAAATTTCTAAACCAAGATTGCTTGTTTTTCTTGTGAACCAAGATTGCTTGTTTTTCCTGTGATTTATGTGAATGTTTGCATTTTTATGTATGTATGTAATGTGTGTTTAAATGTTGTATAAATTATGTGAGTGCGCATGTTTGTGCTTGGGGGTGGGTGGGTGGAGGGGTTTAAAGACTGAATAGATGGATACTTTCAATGGATATTATACAAATTTACATAGACATACATATACCTGGAATAACCCTCTGGTAAAATAAAGTATTATCTTATCTTACATTCATACATACATACATACATACATACATACATACATACACACACACACACA